AGCTGGCTTGGGTGAGTAGAGATTGTTCAGCCTCTCCCAGTGCAGACATGCCTAATCCACAGCAGCATGAGATTGTAGATCAAACACTTGTCATTGTTTTGCTATGGGAAGCAGGCTGTTTTGAAGGGGAAGAGGTTGGAAACCTGTGCCATTTCCAAATATATTGCAGTTATTGATCTCATCAAAGTAAGAATGTTTCCTTAATTTTTTTCCCTATCACTTAACTTTTTTGTTGCCTGTTTTATTCTCATTTTGACTTGACTTGAGATCAAGAGATATTTATGCAGAGATCATTGCTTTCAGTACATTGATACAGCACAAGTACAAAATATTAAATGTGTGGGTCATTAGCAGTATCTAAATATAAATGCATAATCATATTCTGCATCTCTATCCTACAGGAAACAGAGCTGGTATAGCATGCAAGAGTCCTGGGGCAGAACTCCTTCCATTTTGCTGCACTTCCAGGCACTGCAGGAAGCCACAGCCTAAAATTAAGATTTTTAGGGACATAATTCCCAGACCTGCAAGTGCACATCTGACATTCTGAGGCATGGGCTAGCTTGGCTCCAACTTAATGAAATGCTGTAGCTGCAGGAGGCTGAACAGTAACCAGGGCATGTACTGGTAAGACCAGATGCAGGCATTTATGTGGTTATTCCCACACGTTTTTGGTCCCTGGAGTCCATCTCAGCTGCAGTGCAGTGTCATCACCCTGACACAGGAGCAGCTTCAGAGAACTCCTCTGTGATAAACCAGTGGGACTTGGCTCAGCTCAAGGAGCCCCCAGCAGCAAAGGTGAAGCAGATAGAGTTGATGCCACAACTGACTAGAGCTAAAAAAGGAGATTATGTGAGTGCATTCGCTCTTGCCTTCATTCCTCCTCTCCCCCAAAATGGGCTAAAGCTTTGCCCTGTCAAAGTCTGTTTGAGAAACAATGTGGTCCATCTGTTAATCTTGTCTTGCAGCTTTTCCTGCAGTACAGAGACTTTCCAAGCTAAAATCAAGGCCTCCGGATCCCTCATGCTGTGTGTCTAGAGGAAGAATTATTAACCTGAGCTTATAGGTGGGGAACAGACAGATTAAACACTTTACCTCCAGATTACTCAAAGTCCTGAGCTGAGCCCAGGGCTGAGCTCAAGAACTGTCTCCCAGCCAGCCCTTCAGACAGGCTTTTCTTCTCTCCAATAGGATCTGTAATTATTCCATTGAAAAACCGTAGAAATTATCTGTTACCATTTCTGCACATAAATTTCCACGTGAGGTTGACAGAAGGAAGAAAAACAAGACAGTGGGGAGCAAAGTCAGAGAAGGTAGCATGTGATAGCTGTCAACTGCTCAGGACTGACATTCCTGGGTTTTTACACTTGAGGCACTGAGTCAGCTTCCTCCCAGTATTTGTTGGGATCACTGGCCACTTCCAAGGTCAGCATGTGCCAGACACTGACATTACTTAGAACAGCACAAACAGCTTTTAGCAATCATGAAATTCATCATTCTCCAGGTGCTAATAAGCCTGTTTCTAGTCCTGCTCACAATTTGTTATTTTTAATAACTTACTCTGGAAGGATTTGGAATGTGAATTCCCTTTTCCATTCATTCCCTTCTGTTATTACAGTCAGGGAATCCAGCAGTTGGTTTCAAGTGATATTTACTACTAAAAGCCTGTCAGATGTGCTGACTGGTAAATATCCATTACACTGAAAAAAAGAAACCCCACTTTCTGTTGATGCACTGAATTTCTGCTCTCCAGGTGGTCAGCTTCACACCACACAGACAATTTCAAACCTAGGAAAAATCTTTTGGAATTCCAGAACCTCAAATATCAGCAAAGCAAACGAGCACAAATCAATGGTGTTTTCAGTGACCTCCATAATTTCCCTCAAACAGCCCATAAATGCTGAAGCCCATAAGCCCCAACTCTGTTATATCAGCCACTCCTGGTAGGCTTTAAAAAGCTCCCTCTCCCTGTTCCCTGTCAGTCTTGCTGGGGAGAGGAACCTGAGGAGGGGACACTGAGCTCCCTGAGGTTTGTGCTGCTTTGTCACCTGAGCATCCTCCTGCCACAAAACCCCACGGGTGGCCAAGGGGACCCTGCTGGCCACAGCAGCCTCCCTTGTGCACCTGAGGAGGAAGGATGTGATCAGCTGCTCTGACAAGAGCCCTGCTCCCACTGTAAATCCAGGATTCCAAGGGGAACTGCAGACTATGGATGTGCAGAGCCTCAGCTGGGAGAAACCTCTGAACCAAATGCAAAGCTCCAGGAAGCCCTTTCCAGCATTTTCAGCCTGGGAAAAGAAACCAGGTGAGTAAGGGCTCCCCAGTCCTTCTGCCATTCCCAGGTTTCCCAGCTGGACAGGACAGCCCAGCCTTGTGAGATCTTTGGGGCTTGCCTGTGCATGCAGCACTTGGGTTTGGAGGTCAGACCAAATGGAGCTCTGAAAGGCTTCCAAATGTGCCAGACTGACATAAAAATCTAACTGGTGGCAGTAAAAGATGAAGAACTGGGTCTAGATTACAAAACAAACTCACAAACTTTTCAGTAGTTCAGATGCAGCTCATCTGCAGCTCGTACTGTGCAGAGCTATGACAAAAACATTCCTCCAAAAGCTCTTCCCAACATCTGCACTTTTTAAAGTCACAATTAAGGACCACTGAATGTTCTGTTCCTGCTGTTTTTCCTAAAAATCACATCTTGGCAGAAAACCCAATGTTACATCTTTCCTGCTGCAATGTCCTTCCTATGCCAGCTACAATACCAAGCATTATTTATAGCCACAGAAAGTCAGAATGAGTTTATACAAGACTGTTTCAGCAAACCCAAATTAAGAAGGAATTGCAAACAGATCAACTTCTTTGTGTAGTAAATCTGTTGTCACAAATCTAGGACCTAGAGAACTGCAAGCCTGCATACCAACAGAGAAGTTCATCACTGGGTCCTGTTGTCCTCACCCAGGCAGAATCATAGAATTATTTAAGTTGGAAAAGACCTTTAAGGTCATCAAGTCCAACTTGATGAAGCTAATCAAGCACTGCCAAGCCTAAGCCACAGACTAAACCCCTCTGCCCAGTACACCTCCTGCAGGTCTAAAGCACCACCAGGCCTCTCACCTTGTCATTATCTTGCATCCCAGACTTTCACAAAATCCACCCTGACCCACACCAGAGTAACCTCAGCTACAATCAGACAATTATTTCAAGGTGCCACAGCAGCAGTTTGGAGAACTTGGAGAGCACAGCAAACTGGGAACAACCCTCAGGGATGGTGTCACTGAGCATTAAAGAGTGGGTGATGTGATTCACCCCATTCCTGGGTATTACAGGATGCCAGTTCTGCCTCAAGAACAGCAGTGAGATGTGAAGGTATGGGAAGAGTGGGGGCCTCTCAGAATGGTGGGCACACCATGAGAATGAGACCTGCATCACACTGCAAGACAGAATTTCAAAGGGAACAAGTGAAAACAATGAAAAGAATTAGCTTCCTGCAATTAAAATATTATCATTTCACATTATTTCTTTGAAAAATTATGAGCTTTCCCCTGTAATGATAAGGAGGATCACACTACACACATGTAGGCACCAGACCTTTTTAAAGCCTGCTTTCAGCATAACTATTAAAAACAAAAGTGGAAACTTCATCTTGCAACAATCTTCTTTCAAGCTTTAGGGTTTTCACAACCCCTGACCATAGTAACTACTCAAGGAAGGACCCAATAATCCAACATTTCCTTCCCTTAGGACTGTTGCTAGAGATGCAGTCACCAGCTGCCAGGCTTTTCTTCCCAAGAAGGGACCCATTGCTATGAATTGTACATCAGACCTCGCTGTGACCCCCTGTTCTCAACTCAGCCCACCCCTTCCTCCTGCTCCAGCTCAGATGATTCCTCCAGCATCCACAACTGGCACACAGGCAGAGCACTCAGCAACAAAACATCCATAAACCCTCTTCTAACCAGCACAGCTGAACAGCACAGCCCGTGCTGGGACACCCCTCATTCCACAGCTCTTCTCACATATCCAACCACAAGACATTAAATGAAAGAAGTTTCCAGCAAACTTTGGTTTGAGTGTGGGCTTACCTCAGGTTCTTAAATGAGTGCAGTGTGGGTTGATGCAATTAGCTGCCCTAATCATTCTATAATGCCAAAACACCGTGCCATGGTATTTGCAAAAACGGAGAAAAGTATTTTTCAGAAGCACTGAAGTCCCCATCAGTGAGTACTTAAAATCCTTCTGGAAGTTGCTTCTTTGCTCTGTTTTAATCTTTTTATAGAAGTAACACATTTAACTGGTGCTGGGATGCTGAACAAGTAATGAAAAGGTCGGTCTTGGCAACTAGAGCTATTTCAGTCCGAGGTATTACACCATACCTAAAAACACTTTAGCAAGGTTGCAAAGCCAGGTGTTCAATAGTTCAGAGATCTGCTGAGTTTTTGTGCTGCTTCCTGAAAAGCCTGTATGATGATACAGTCTAATTACCTGATCACTTCTTATTTTTCTCCAGAACTTATTCAAGACACAGAAAAAATGAAAATATTACATTTCATCTCCTGTGACCGGTACTTCCCCTCTGCTCCTCTTTATTGCACACTGCTGAAAGCATGCACTGAAGAAAAATATTTCTTTATGGCTTTTTCCAGTGCTCAGCTCTTGCATCCAAGCACTTCAAACAAATTATTCTCACAATAAAACAGGGAGATGAGTTGCTTTTACTGTGTATACAAAACAGACTCTGCACCTAAGATAATGCACTCCAGATATTCATCTCAGCCAGCTAACAGCAACTTTCAGAGCTCTTGGCATGGTGTTTGGTTCTTGACACAGAACAATTTGTAGTCAAAACTGGCTTAAGGGGAAGTCCAGGATTCTGGGCACTGAGCAGAACTGACTGAAAAATAATGGACATGCAAATAGGAGATGGTGCTGACACTTCCACAGGAGCCCAGGGTGGGCACAGATAAAAGGCAAGGCTCAATGAACTCCCCTTCCATGCATCTTACCTCTTCCCCCTGCACTTCTCAGCTCCTCCTGCACTCTCCTCAGACACACTCAGGCTCAGGGGTGAAGTGATTCCTGAACCAGAAGGAGCAGTCACTTCCTAAGCACAGCTGGTGAAGGGAAGGGATGAGCCCTCAGCTAGAAATGGAATCCCCAAATCCTGCCCTCAAGGGGCAACAAAGGGTCACCAGGCAACCTTTATCCCACCACACCACACCTTGCCTTCTCCTCTGAGACCTCACCATTTCACCTGCTTTGGTTTCATAGGCCTGACTGTCCTAAAGTTAGCTACTCTTACATGTGTGAGTCATGAGACTCTTCCCTCCTAGTTTTCTTTGCCCATCTCTCCATTTAGCTTTTATCCTTTCTGCAGGCCAGCCACAGTTCCTGGGTGTGGATGCTAAATACAAAAAGAAGGGAACAGAGCCTGTGTGAAAGTAAGTGAAAAAAAGTCACAGGCTTCTCATTCTGGCCTGAGAAAGCACGAGAAAGAATCCAGACAGTCCTTGGTAAAGGCCAACAATCTCCACAGGCCATGTGTCACTGTTGGGAATGGTGAGAAGAACAACACAGACTCTCTTGGGTGTTGAACAGGAGAGCAAAGTTTGTTATTCTTGATCTTCTTTTACAGACATGTTGGAGAAAGTCTGAGAGGTAAAACTCTCATTGGTCATTAAAGCAACACATCACCATCACTGGTGAAGTGGAACATCACCCCTGGACTGTTTTCCTAAACACCACCTGCAAGGATTGTTGTCCTTTACCAAGGACTGTTTGGATTCTTCCTCGTGCTTTCCATCCAGAACGAGAAACCTGTGACTGAGTTTCACACAGGCTCTGTTCCCTTCTTTTTGCATTTAGCATCCACACCTGGGTGTCATACAGCCACAGAAAAGGATGTGGAAAAGCCCATTTCTGGCTGTGTAGCCTAGGAGCCAAGCTCAGGCACTGTCAGGATGAACTGGGAGGCAGCTGTCAAACCAAATCATTGCACTCTGCAAGACTGGAAGACATGTTAAAACCTCTCACTTGGTCAGGTTTGGATGGCTCTTCCCCACAGAAGCAGAGGTTATCCCATTAAACCAAAACATTCTGCGCTGGAAAGCTTAGTCCACAGCCCAGTAATCTTAAACTTTATAAATAAAAAACCTCTATGAATAAAATTTTATAAAATAAACTGTATATAAATACAGCTGCCATTGTTGCTGAGGCCTCCCAAAAACATCTGGCTGGATGCAGATATGCAAACTGCAAAGCTTTGGTCCACAGTTCTTAGAGCTTGATGAGGTTTACAAGAAGGGGCAATAGACCACTTTACCTGAGGGTGTAGCTCCATCTCTGACTGTGCAAATAATCTTCTTTAAAGCCCTGGAGCACTAACAGGTGGAAGCAGTGCTTCCCAGCAGGCCCAGGCTGCCTGGCAGGGCATCCCAGGGGCCCAGACTGTCACCTGGGTGCAGCTGGGCTGTCCACACACACACACAGATGTTCCAGATGTTGCTATGGAAACAGAGGTGGTGCCAGCACTAAGGTGCAAGTGGGGCTGGAAGGGAGACAGATGAACTCAAATGAACATCTGCACATGGATTGTGAACAGCTAAGGGACACCAATATGTCAGGTTGTGTTTGCCCACCACGTGTCTAACAATTACACTTGCAGACTTTAAAGTTTGAACCCAGCACTTTTGATGTTTCCACCACTCCTTTATTCTCCTGTGCTGAAGTATGGATATTGCCATTCCATAACAAAAGAGGCAAAAAGTGACACAGAAGTGCCTCTGCTCCCACTGCCTCCTCCCCCACCACGGGCACATCAGTCAGCATAGCCAGCTCTGCAGCTTCCCAAGGAACTAAAAGTAGCAACATTGGAGCAAAAGGATTGAGTGTCACTGGTGATGATGAGAAAATTTTGTCACGAAAGAATAGATACCATCTGACACATGGAACAGCAGCAGTAATTTGGAAATTAGAGACCCAGGCATATGCTTTCTAAAATTATCCATGAAAGTAAAAACCAAGGGCAACATACTTAAAATACTCTTACAGCAAGCCTGCAGACAGCCTGCATGCATGCTGCAGGCCTGCCTTGTGAACTGGCCTGGCCAGGAGCTGGAATCTGCCTTTGGATGAGCACAGACCTCAGCATCAGCCCGTCCATCCCCACCTCGAATGCCGATGCCTCCAGAGTACGTGTGTGACATGGCTGCTGAGACACACTCAGACATACTTTGGGTAGCTCTTGTTTCATGCCAGATTGGTCAAAGTATTTCACATTTATTTTAGTGCTGCCTAATTGACTTCTCTCCCCCCAGGATAGAATAAGCACAGCCAGAACATTTATTTGTTGGACGCAATGTGATTTTCAACCAACTGCAAAAAATTTTGCTTCTCAGTTGGGCTCTCAAGGACAACAGTGATAGTGCAGACAATATTTATGTTAAAATAGCCCCAGGTGCCCCTCACCACAGCCCTGCCTTCAGGCAGCTGTCCCTGGGTTGTGGCTGCCCAGTAACTCACCCTGCACTAACGGGGGGAAGAGCCCTCCTGGCACAGAGCAGCACTGGCTCAGTGGCAGACAAGGCAGAACCTGGGCACTGGTTAGCCAGGATGGTGGCCAGGGATGCTGATTTAGCTCAGCCACAGCTTCCCCAGGGGAACTTGCAATAAAGATACCATCCTTTGCCCATGAAGCATCGGGAGATACATTAACCAGGAGCTGTACAACTTTTTACCAGCCATTCCCCACCTTCTCCTCACCCTGCCAAAACCTCCAGTTTCAAACAAGCTCCTTGTGTCAAAACAGGAGACCCTGATACCAAAGAAGTTCTCTTGCTCTGCAGTTGCCCTGCACCACCTGCACCCCAATCCACTGAAATCAGTGACCCTCTCTCCTGCCAGGGCTGTGGTGCCCCAGGGAGCACAGCAGCAGTGCCACAGCACACCAGACAAGGGAACAGAGTTTTTGCTGTGCATGAAACAGGCACACCAGGGAAATGCAGCCCCAGGAACAGCCAAGAGCAGGAGAGGTAGTTCTGGTGCTTCTCAGTGGCACTGTCATGGTTTGACCCACATGCCATCCCACCTGTGCATAAAGGGGGAACGTGGATTCACCATTACTGGCAAAAAATAAAGGTTTGAGAAAGGATTTTGATGGTGCAAGGAGAGACTTAATGGAGCATTTCACATGAAAAAAAAAGTGAGAATGGGAACAGTGACACTTGCAGAGGAAGAAAAGATTAATAGGGGCATTAAGGTGGCATTTTTAGCCCAGCAGAGGGAAGAGTAATAAGCAACCAGGCTGGAAGAAAACATGTGGGAGTTACATAGGTAGTCTGGATAATCAGACAACATATGGCCATTTTAACAGTGAGGCTTTCATGAAGTCAATGAGGAATGAATTCTGCCACAAAGCCTGAAAGCACAGAAAGTTTATTTAAAAGGATAGACAAACCCCAATGAGTTTTACATATTCTTCAAAACCAACATGCAGAGGGCACAGTGTGACTTCATGCTGAGGCTGCAGCCAGCTGCACTGGGACTGGAGCATCAGCCCTTGCACTTCAGGTTGTATCTATTTTGATTTGCTGCCCTTGTGCTCGGCTGTTCACCTGCAAGAAACTGCCAAGCTCTTTTCTCATCACACCAGGCTCTGCTGGTGCAAGAAGGTTTAGGGGTGGGTAATGAACTCCTCCTAAACCTGGACCCCCTAAAACAGCAATAGAACCGAGCAGGTGAGGTGATCCTAGATAATCTGGAAACACAAACAGGGGAGGCACTCCCACCAATTTACCTTCCTCCCAACTACTCAGCATAATCCCATTATCACCCCAAAGTGGCAGCTCACATAAGGCAATCACTTGGAGCAGTTCAGATTAAAACCAGCCCAAAAGTCAAGACAAAGCTTACTTAGCACAGCAGACCCAGCTAAAGCTGTGCACCAGTCCTTCAGCAGCTCAGGGGCTGGGCAGCAAAATCAAGGAGAGCCCTTGCACTTACAAGCAAGGCTCCTTCTTCCAGGATATCTCAGGGTGTCACCCCAGGGGTGGCTGTCCCCTCTGCAGCAGCATGACCAGTTGTCATCCTTACCCTTGGGGCACAGAAAGGGCTCTTGCCTGACATCTGCAATAAGGAAAACAGCCAGGTGAATGAAAGATTCTTCATTTTGGCACTCTAAGCAGGGATTGCAAAGCCCTTGCTGAATACAGACATCCTTTCCAGCCTTGTATCTATCAAGAACAAATGCCACAGTTCTGTGCAGTGTGAACAGCTGAATGATCTCCTTTCGCTGGTGGCCGAGCTGAGGGAGGAAGTTGAAAGACTGAGGAGCACCAGGGAAAGGGAAAGGGAAATAGATTGGTGGAGTTCCACCCTTCCACCCTTGAGGGAAGCCCCCCAGGAGTCAGAGGACTCCCATGCCTCCCACTGCCAGGCCACAGGACAACACCTGGGGGGGGATGAAGGGGAGTGGAAGTGGCTTCCTACTCAGAGAGGCAATAAAAGCTCCTCCTGACCCCCATCACCCACCCAGGTGCCACTTCAGAATAGGAATGAGGCCCTGGATGAGGAGGGCCAGCTCGAGGACATAGAGGAAAATGATTTTCCCAGTGAGCCTCTCAATTATGCTTTGTCTGTTGGATGGATCACCACCTCTGACATCAAGAAGAAAAGAAGGGTGATCGCAGTGGGTGACCCCCTTCTGAGGGGAGCAGAGGCCCCCATATGTCAACCAGCTCCATCCCACAGGGAGGTCTGCTGCCTCCCTGGGGCCTGGGTACAGGATATCACTGAGAGACTTCCTGGGCTGATCCAGCCCTCTGATTATCACCCACTGCTGCTACTCCAGGCTGGCAGAGATGAGATTGAAGGGAGGAGGGTCAGGGCAATGAAAAGGGACTTCAGGGCACTGGGTCAAGTGGTTGATAGGACAGGGGCACAGGTATTGCTCTGCTCAGTCCCTTTGGTGGTGGAGAAAAATGGTGAAAGAAATAGGAGAGCCCACATTATCAACAAGTGGCTCAAGGGTTGGTGTCATCAGCAAATTTTGGGTTCTTTGCTCATGGGGCAACTTTTTTGGCACCTGGCCTGATGGAACTGGATGGGCTGCATCTCTCTGGTAAAGGCAGAAGGATTTTAGTTGATGAACTGGTGGAACTTTTTGAGAGAACTTTAAGCTAGCAGGCCCAAGGGTGGTGAGCCTGAGTTAGGGGTGAAATCAGCAGCCCAGCTGAGGTGTGTGTACACCAGTGCACACAGCATGGGTAACAAACAAGAGGAGCTGGAGCTGGTCGTTCTGTGTGATCCCTCCCTGATTATTTTTACACTCAGTCAATACCCCCAGAGCCTGCAGCAGCACACATTTGCACCTCCTGCAGTGCCTCAGCCCTGCAGATGAAGGCTGGAGCCAGAGTCAGGATTAGCATCTGATGCCTTCAGGACTTGTGGCTAATAAAAGCCAGGAAAATATTACAAAAGAAACCAGGAATTGTTTCAGAAAATTGAGACAGGCAAAAGGGAACAAAAATCCTTCTCAAATTCTTCAGCAAAAGCTGAGGTTTGGGTTTGACAAGACGATCTCAGGTCTCATGGAAACTTTCAAAACTTGGGCCAAGGTCAGGCACAATACAAAAGAAAACAAGTAAATATTCATGCCTGGCTTTATGCCTCTTCAAAAAATTCACTCCAGCTTCAGTCCTAATTTTCTTATAATTTCTTAGCATTGTTGTCACCCTGTATGAACTATGTGCTATTGATGTATGTGCCAAGTGTAAAGATTAATTGAAGAACCACAATTCAGGAGGGGTAACTTAATTCCTTTCTGCAGGTGCTCTGCAGTATTTCATACAACTTGTGGCCAGGAATACTTTATTAGTTCCACACAAGAAAACTCATGGCAAGTGCTGTTGCTCAGCCTTTGCTAGCTAAAGCTGCACAAATTGCAGATCACAGATGAGGCTGGGGAAGGGACAAGGCAGGGAAGCTGTCAGGGAGTACCTGTTAGCTTAAGGACAGAAAACAGAGAGATATATTAAAGATCAGCTTTAATATATCAGGATGGAAGGGCAAGTGCACAATCCTCTGTTTTAGACTGAAAAGGATGCTCACAGCAAGGGTTGGGGCAATGGAACCATTGCTTTTGGCTCCCAAGCTAACAAAAACAGTTTGTGGGGTGGAGTTTTTCTTTCAGTTGCTTGGTGCTTGCAAGAATAAGTAATTTAAGCAGTGAAAAAACCAACAAAAGCCAGTCTTGCTCTGAGGACAGGAGAGTGAAGCTTTGCAGGCACAGAAAGCTCCTGCCTGGCCAGGGGCTGGGCTCAGCTCAGCTTCAGGTGCTCAAATAAAGGTTTCTCCCAGCACCTGTACTCGTTATTTCCACACCTGATCAAGAACAGAGAGAGCAAAAGAATGTTTTCAAGCCACTCCCCATCAGCCTCTACTGGGCTGCTCCTTAAATTTGCTTAA